ATTTATTTTTTGATTTAATATTTCATTTTTAAATGTGTACTAGTTTGATATGTTCCCTTTTCTTCCTCTCCTTCCTCCCTCCCCCCTCTCCCTCCCTTCCCCTCCCTTTTTTTCTTCCTCCCCTCCCTCCCTCCCTCCCTCCCTCCTTCCTTTCTTTCCTTTTTGTTGTTTTGTTTTTTGGAGACAGGGTTTCTCTGTATAACAGCTCTAGTTATCCTGGTACTCCCTTTGTAGACCAGACTGGCCTTGAACTCACAGAGATCTATCTGCCTCTGCCTCCCGAGTGCTGGGCTATAACAAATTCTTATAAACACATCTCCCAATTTCAGTAATTATCAACGTAAGACCAATCTATTTTTATATGTACTCTGATTTTTCACCCCCTTCTCCACTAAAGCATTTTGAAGTAGTTTTCCAGCATAGTTTTTCATCTACAGCTATTTCAGTGTTCAGTGATAGAGTATTAATAAAAGTACAGCCCCAGACACAGCGTGGTAGTACATGCTTCTAAACCAGCACTTGAGATGCAGAAGCAGGCAGAAATGCAGCCTGGTCTATATAGAGAGTTCCAGGCCAGCCAGGGTAACATATTAAAAACTTATCTCAAGAAAGAAAGAAAAAAAAAGGGAAAAGAAAAAGAGCTACATTTGTAATTTGCTGTTTGATATCATTATTGCCATAACAGTCATCCAGGACCTAGAGGTTATACATTAGATTTGGTTGATAACTTTTAAAGTATCTTTTGAATTCTCACTAACCCTCGCCCTTTTCCATTGTACTTCATTTGTTAAGTTAATTATGTTTTAGAACTTCCACCCTGGAATCAGAAGTTCAAGGTTTGTCTCAAACTTAGTGAGCTTGAGGCCAACCTGGGATGCTTGAGACAAAACAAGGAGAAAAAAAAAAGCCACATTTTTTTTCTTCCTGTATTTTGCTGTTTGCACTTTAGCATGTTTCTCTGTTCTAGGGTATAGTTTCTAGAAACTACTAATTGGATTTGAGGCTTGGTCAGATTTACCTCAGGTGTTTTTTTTTTCAAGTATGTTTCATAGATGATATTGTAAATTTGATATCAAATTAAACTTGAGGCATATACTATTTGGTTGTCTTTTTAATTTTAAGATTAGCTGGTGCTAGGTGATGGTAGCCCATGCTTTTAATCCCAGCACTCAGGAGGCAGAGACAGGTGGATCTCTGTGAATTTGAGGTAGTTCCAGGACAGCTAGTGCTGTTATACAGAGAAACTCTGTCTTGAAAGCCTAATTATTTTAAAAATAGTATAATGGGAAAAACTTTCCCAAATTCTGGCTTACCACTCTAATTTAATATTTTGGCATATTTTCTTATGTTATTTCTTTGGTATTCTTGCATTATTGAATCCTGTTTTTGAACATTGGCTTGTTTAGGTTTCATTGTTATACATAGTGCTTTTAGAAAATATCTTGGTCCATACAGTCTGGTAATTTAAGATTGTATCAAAGTGGATTCCGAAACTATAATTCACCAGTCAGAAGATAAGTATTACTTTAAAGTTCTAGTCAGGAATGGTGATCTAAGAATGTAACCTCAACTACTCAGAAGGCTGAGGGATCAAGATCACAAGTTCAAGACCTGCGTGGACCCCAGAGTTAAGTTCAAGGTCAGCTTGCCTGAGCAACTTAATGAGAGCTTGTCTTGAAATTGAAAGAAATGAAGGTCTAGGAGTGCTGTTAGTGGAGGAGCACTTACCTAACATATATAAACCCTGATTTCAGTTTCTGCTATTGTAAAAACAAATAAGTTATTTTAAGTTTTACATATAGCGTGTGGTGATTTGAATAGGCATGACCTTCATAGACTCCTGTGTTTGAATGCTTGACCCGTAGAAGTGGCACTATTAGGTGTGGCCTTGTTGGAGGAAATGTATCACTGTGGGAGTGGGTTTTGAAACTACATCCAGCACACAATTCACTTTTTGTTGCTTACCTCTTCAATACCATGTCTGCCTGCATGCTGCCATGTTTCTCTCCATGGCAATAATGGACTAAACCTGAAACTGTAAGCCAGCCCCAGTTAAATGTTTTCCTTTATAAGAGTTGTGTCATGGTATCTCTTCACAGCAGTAGAGACCCTGACTAAAACATAGTGTCAGTAAGATGGCTCTGTGGGTAAATGTGCTGCTGTGAAGCCTAAGGATCTAAGTTTAATCCCCAGGATCCACATGGTAGAAAAGAACCAACTCCCACAAAACACCTTTGATTTTTACATGCATGCCACCACACAAATGTACCCACACGTATTTGCCTGTGCATATGCAAACATACACGAATAAAGGGATAAATATAATAAAAAAAAAAGACAGATAATAAAACTCTATGGCAAGTTACTTAAAAATTTAAGCTGTCAAAGAAATGATTGAGGGCTGGGCATGGGGATCCATGCCTTTAGTCCTAACATTTGGAGGCAGAGGCAGGCAGATCTCAGCCTGGTCTATATAGTAAGTTACAATACATCAGAGTGAGACCCTGTCTCAAAAAAAAAAAAAAAAAAACAAAAACCAAAAGACAACAACCCCTCCCCCACAACAACAACAAAACCAACTGAATTGTAACTGTACAGAGACTAGTAGGAATTAGATCAGTTACTTTTTCTGCAGCCTCTAGATTGTTGACTACATGATTGAGGATTTTAAAAACATCTAATAGTGCTGGACTTTCATATTGAAATAGATGGAATGTGTGTTATCAAGGTACAAACTTTTTTAGGGTGGTAGTATTGATAAGACTGTTTTTATATGAATATTTTTGACTTTATGAGGAAAGATATTGAGCAAACTAGGCACAGGGTTAACTAACAGCGCTGTATGTTAAGGTCAAGAGATGAACATTCAAATGTAGCTTTTAAGAAGGAAACTAGGAATGTCACATAATGGTTTTGCCTTGTATTCATAAGGCTCTAAGTTCAATCCCAGGACCACTGTGAAACAAACAATAGGCACGCTCATTTTTAATTTTTCTAAATTTATTTTTATTTTATGTGTATGTATGTCCATGTCAGGATGTCAGAAGCCCTGGAAACTGGAAGTTACAGACAGCTGTGAGCTGCCATGTGGGTGCTGGGAATTGAACCTGGGTCCTCTGGAAGAGCAGCCAGTGCTCTTAATTGCTGAGCCATCTCTCCAACCCCAAGCATGCTCATTTCTAAACTTGAAATTACTACAGCCTGAGCGGAGAACAGGGGTCTTTGGCATTGCAATCCTGGCTTTGGAGTCTGTCAGATTTAAATAATGTTCCAGGGGAGTAATTTACAAGTTTGAGACCTCTAAGCTTTTAAAATGTGCTCATTGTTAAATGGACCCAATGTATCTGGGGTGTTTTTGGGGGGGGGGAGGGGAAGCATGAAAGGACTTACATTTAGGAACTATTAGCATGAATGTTTTGAGTTATAACTTATCAATAAAATAAAATTATTGAGGCTTGCACCTGGGAGAATAAGAGTTTATTTTTTAAGATTTTAAGAAAATCTTTTGATGAGAAAAATTCTTTTTCTTTTTCTTTTTTTTTAATCCTTTTTTTCTAAAGCTCAAGGTGAGAGAAGGCAGCCTTGATACAAATCTCTGGTTAAATTAGTTGCATGATTAATCAGCTTAGAGACCCCTCTGAGTAAATCAGAAGACCTTTATAGGGGCTGGAGAGATGACTCAGAGGTTAAGAGCACTGCCTGCTCTTCCAAAGGTCCTGAGTTCAATTCCCAGCAACCACATGGTGACTCACAACCATCTATAATGGGGTCTGGTACCCTCTTCTGGCCTGCAGGCATACACACAGACAAAATATTGTATACATAATAAATAAATATTTTTTTTAAAAAAAGAAGACCTTTATATATGTTTTACCATGTTATATGTACTTTGGGACTTAATATATGAGTAGTATGTATGCATGGTTTGAATGGAGTCAGGGAGAGAATGAGCATCCTAGCACACGTGGTGATCAGAGGGCAGCTAGCGGAAGTCAGGTCTCTCTTCCACAGTGTGGATCCTTTGATAGATTCTGGGACTCCAGCTCAGGTATTAGGGTTTCTCTGTAGCCCTGGCTGTCCTGGAACTTGCTCTATAGATCAGACTGGCCTCGAACTCACAGAGATACACCTGCCTCTATTTCCCAAAACACCTGACCATATTTTGTTTTTTTTTTTCATGGGTGCTAGGGATCAAATTCAGGTTTGTATAACAAGTACTTAACTGGAACCTAATTGGTATTATGTAATACCTGGTATAACCCAGGTATTATACAAGCTGCAGATTCAAATAATAGGCTACATTATTTCATGAACTAATAAGTTTTCTAAAGTCTCTGTATAATGTGTTAAGTGTAAGGAAGGCTTGCTTTGAAGATAAATGTTTAGTTTTTGTTATGGCAAAGACTAGAAAACATTTGATTAAATAACCTGCAAGGTCATTAAGATGGACTATGATTTTATAAGCAGGTATCTTTTGATGTGAGACAAATATTTATATCGCCTGGCTCAACCCATTAATACCCAGTAGAAATCAGAAGTGGTCCTAATGTAGTGGAAAAGACCAGCTATGCTTACTGATCTAATCTTCCTCACTTATAAAATGGAACACAGAAGGATTTGTAAAGAATTGGGGCTTATGTTAGTTGGTCTTCATCTGTAGCTATCATTACTGTATTTCATAGAGTACTTTACTGGAATATGTTTCATGTCAGAATTATGGTGAGGGAATGTATATGTCCTTTCCTTGATTGCTGCAAGTACAGGTAGCGCACAGAAACCTTCCTTGGAGTGAACTAGATTTTTAGATCTCATGGTTTGGCAAACAGGAAATGTCTTGTGATTGGCAGTTTTGATCACAAGTGTTATTTGGGTTTTCCAGTCAGGGGACTTCTTCCCCACAGAACAGTTTTAAACTGTTTCTTCTTATGAATGTTGTCTTTTCTTTTATACCCTAAACCTACTGCCTGCTAACTTTTCTTTTTCTTTTTTTAATGAGAAAGTGTTGACTCGGAATCGGAGAGAGGCCAGGAACAAAAGTGACAGTAAGACATCTACCCGGACTTCCCTGGACATCAACAAGTAAGTAGCCACAATGCTTTCATTGAATTCTTGTCTAACACATTATTATTTGGACTGAGTGAAGAGACTGGTTCTTGTCACCATGTATTTCTTTGGTTTCCTATTCTTCCTTTTTCAGTTGAAAGCCTGAATTTCCCTTTCTTACTAGTTTATTTCAGTGTATGTTTCCCAACTTTAATGGTTCTGTTTCTGCATTGCTCTTAGGTTTCTGTATTCTTTGAATTTATATATTGATGTTTGGTGCTTTGGGGAAACAGTGAGCATTTTGCAATGTTGTATAGAAGTTGAGTTGCAGGAGGTTGAGCAATATAGAAGACTTCCCCAAAAAGAAAAAGAAAAAAAAAAAAAACTTCCTTGGGATGTGTGGGTTGTAGCTTGACTAAGAGAGCACATTCTGAGGAAGGGGTCAGGTATAGATGCTGCCTTCTAAAAGCAAAGTTATCATTTCTTTGTGCTAAAAACATTAAAAACCCTTAGGATTCCCTATTACTATCTAGCTGTAACTTAGTACTAACAAACAACTTTTTCCTATTTTTCTTCTCTGTGATCTTGCTTTAATATAGACGTCTTGGGCTGCATTCCTCATATTGCTTCAGTTTGTTTTAAAATCTCTGTGTTCTTTGATAAGCTGTTAAGGTGCCCACACTTATTTTCGTTTTTGTTTATGTTCAGCATCTAATAAGATATATCTGAGATAGCACTCAAAGTATTAGTTGTTTAATGAGCACCTGCTATCATATGCCAGTCATCATTGTAGATACTTCATTTACTATATAATAAATAATGGAGTGGCATAATTGTTTTCTCCTCCTACCCCGTCCAGTACTGGGAATTGAATCCAGGATCTTGTATGTGCTAAAAAATTAGTCAACCACTGAACTATGCCATCAGTCCCTTTTCATTTCCTTCCTTCCTTCCTTCCTTCCTTCCTTTTTCTTTCTCTCTTTTTTTTTCAAGTAAAGGTAAATTATAGGTAACTAACTCATGTGGCCAACAGAACAGTAACAAAGTCAAAAGTCTGCCTGACTTTAAATGTTTGGGTCTTCCTGTAGTCTCTCATATATTAGGTTAGTTCAAAGGAGTTGTTGTTTCAGACCATAAATTCTAAATCATGACTAGGTTTAACTATACTTTATTAATCAAAATAGGAACCATTACAGTCAGTGCATTTTTTACCAATGAGAAATGTTTTATTCCTGTAGTGTAAAAATTCATGCTTCAGGATATGAAGAACTCTTAGAAAGTATCTTTCTTCTCCCCACCACCTCCCCAATACATTTAATGCGTTGTTTGTGGAGGTCAGTGGACAACTTGTAGGAGTTGATTCCCTCTTCTACCGTATGGGTTCCAGGGAATGAACTCAGGTCATCAGGCTTGGTGACATGTACTTTTTATCCACGGAGCCAGCTTGCTGACCCCCATATAAAGCATTTTCTGTATTTTTCTGATTATAAAGCATTTTCTGTACTAGTATCAAAGAGTTCCACAGTAGCCTGGAATGAGTATAACAAAGGATTATTTATTTGGGGATAAAGTCACAGTAAGGGTAGCAATCCACAGTCCTCTGTGTACACTGGGAACTGGAACAAAATCCAGCAGAAAAAAAGGGGTCTGTGCACGCTTTTTATCTGCACTTATAGTACATGAGACCACACCCAAAGTGAGCTGGTATCTTTTTTTTAACTGATATGCATTTTATTTTATTTTTAATTTTTTTATTGAGAAAAAAAAATTTCTGCCTCCTCCCAGCCTCCCACTCCTCCCCCCTCCCCCCACTCCTCTCCCCATCCCCCCACTCCTCTCCCCCTCCCTCTCAAGTCTGAAGAGCAGTCAGGGTTCCCTGCCCTGTGGAAAGTCCAAAGTCCTCCCCACTCCGTCATGGTCTAGGAAGGTGAACATCCAAACTGGCTAGGCTCCCACAAAGCCAGAACATGTAGTAGGATCAAAACCCAGTGCCATTGTCCTTGGCTTCTCAGCAGCCCTCATTGTCCGCCATATTCAGAGAGTCCGGTTTTATCCCCTGCTTTTTCAGTCACAGTCCAGCTGGCCTTGGTGAGCTCCCAATAGATCAGCCCCACTGTCTCCGTGGGTGGGTGCACCCCTCTTGGTCCTGACTTCCTTGCTCATCTTCTCCCTCCTTCTGTTCCTCATTGGGACTTTGGGAGCTCAGTCCAGTGCTCCAGTGTGGGTCTCTGTCTCTATCTCCATCCATCGCCAGATGAAGGTTCTAAGGTGATATGCAAAATATTCATCAGTATGGCTATAGGATAGGATCATTTCAGGTTCCCTATCTTCAGCTGCCCCAGGAACTAACTGGGGACCTCGCCTTGGGCACCTTGGAAGCCCCTCTAGGTCCAAGTCTCTTCCCAACCCTAAGATGGCTCCCTTAATTAAGATATGTGCTTCCCTGCTCCCCTATCCAACAGACAAAGGTCTGATCTCCAAAATATATAAAGAACTCAAGAAACTAGACTTTAAAATGCTAATTAACCCAATTAAAAAATGGGGCACTGATCTGAACAGAGAATTCTCAACAGAAGAAGTTCAAATGGCCAAAAGACACTTAAGGTCATGCTCAACCTCCTTAGCGATCAGGGAAATGCAAATCAAAACAACTTTGAGATATCATCTTACACCTGTCAGATTGGCTAAAATAAAAAACACCAATGATAGCCTCTGCTGGAGAGGTTGTGGAGGAAGGGGTTCCCTCATCCATTGCTGGTGGGAATGCAAACTTGTGCAACCACTTTGGAAAGCAGTGTTTCGGTTTCTCAGGAAATTCGGGATCAACCTACCCCTGGACCCAGCCATACCACTCTTGGGAATATACCCAGGAGATGCCCGATCATATGACAAGGGCATTTGTTCAACTATGTTCATAGCAGCATTATTTGTAATAGCCAGAACCTGGAAACAACCTAGATGTCCTTCAATGGAAGAATGGATGAAGAAAGTGTGGAATATATACACATTAGAGTACTACTCAGCGGTAAAAAACAATGACTTCTCAAATTTTGCATGCAAATGGATGGAAATAGAAAATACTATCTTGAGTGAGGTAACCCAGACCCAAAAAGATGAACATGGATTGTACTCACTCATAATTGGTTTCTAGCCATAAATAAAGGTCAGTGAGTCTATAATTTGATATCCTAAAGAAGCTAAATAAGAAGGTAAACCCAAAGAAAAACATATAGTTATCCCCCTGGGTAGGGGAAGTAGACAAGATTGCCAGGCAAAAAATCGGGATCTTAAGGGTGGGGTGGGAGGGGGGTAAGGGGAGATGGGGAGAGAAAAGTGAGAAGGGTAGGGTGGGGAGAACTTGGGGCAATGGGATGATTGAGCTGGTATCTTAAAGGCTATTGGCTGAAGGAGTTCCTACAACATTTTCGTTTTAATAAAAAGAAATTCCAAGGGCTGGAGAGATGGCTCAGAGGTTAAGAGCACTGTCTGCTCTTCCAGAGGTCCTGAGTTCAATTCCCAGCAACCACATGGTGGCTCCAAACCATCTGAAAAGAGATCTGGCACCCTCCTCTGGCGTGTGGGTATGAGGCAGAAAGTTGTATACATAATAAATAAATCTTTAAAAAAAAAGAAAAAAATTTCAAGATGCTTGAAGAAGTGGTACTTGATTGGTGGAGGTCAGGTAAATAAAACAGAATTTTGTAGCCTAATTTATTCAATTTTTGAAATGTTAGTTGTACCTATGCAGTTTGGTGTCCTAACGGTGTGTTTGGGCTTTTTCTGTTGACCAGTGCTGGCTGCAGGCATCACAGTTCTCAGTGCTGCATCTCATTCATTTGCTGAGCACAAATCTCAGACATAATGGTCTCCCTGAATTCAGAAGCTGCAGTGGATCAGACCAACAGCAGACCACTAAACAGTTTTCCCTGACCTTGTTTTGGTACAAGTTTGGCTTTGGGAAGTTAGAAGCTTTGGAGCTTCTTGGTCCAGCTACTGAACTGGTCATCACTAGTTGTCAGACACAGTTCACTTTTGGTTGCATGTCACAATCTTAGTAAGAAATGGTTTGTTGTTCTGTAGAATAAGAGGACTGATAATTCAGAACAACTTAAATTTTCTTTTCTTTTTTCCGATTTAATGAGATAGCCACTTACCAAACCTTTTCACCTTCAATTTGCATCAGATTTTTGAACAACTTGCATGGTTCACATCGAGGCAACTTCTTGAGTCAAATAAGAGAATCAGCTTCAGTGAGTGCTCTTTGCTGCTCATTGTCAACTTCCTGTAGCCAACCACTAAGCTCTTTATCTTGAAGGCTCTTGAGCCACCTCTGTACTATATGTTCATTATTGGTTCCTGGGCCAAAGACCTATTGATGTTGCAAATTGCCTCAGCTGTTTTACCATCTATTTTGCCAAATAAGAAAACTCAAATTTTTGTTTCACAGAGCTGGAGAGATGGCTCAGCAGTTAAGAGCACTGGCTGCTCCTCTAGAGGTCCTGAGTTCAATTCCTAACAACCATATAGTGTCTCACAACCATCCATAATGAGACCTGGTACCCTCTTCTGGCCTGCAGGCAGACACACAGGCAGAACACTGTATACGTAATAAATAAATCTTAAAAAAAAACCTGTTTCACATCATTTCTATATTATAAAATAAATATAAACAGCAAGTAAAATATAAATTTATAAAATAAATATAAACAGCAAGTAAAAAAACAGCAAGGAACCATAAAGTGAAAAATGTGCATTAAAATGATGTATATCATAACTACATATATTTAAGAGTGTATTTCATAATCAAATAACAAATTTCAACAGTGCAGAAAACAAAATTTTGTACTAATCTATAATAAGAATTAATAGTGCTTTTTACATTAGTTAATAAACTTTGAAGATATACTAGTCTAACTTTTCTCATAAGGTAGAGTTTTACTTGCATTCTTCCAGGTAATTGAATAGCTTGAGATGTTATTTCTTTTATTTTATTGTCCTTTAGAGAAAATCTTCTATAGAGTTAATCTCATCATAGTTACTAAACAGTAATGGTCAGAAAAAGAAGATGAACCTCTGAATCAGCTATGAGTTCTGATATTTATTAGCTGTGACGCCCTTATGTAGAATAGTTCTTTCCTATTGGGACTGAAGAATTAATTGAGAAATCATGTTGAAAGGTACTGACCACAGAGAAAGTAGTTAATAAGTATTCTTCACCAATTCTCACAGGTCTGTCTTCATTGATACTTCAAGAGCACACACTTTCCTTCTCTAAATGGTTTTGATATAAGAAGATGACAATAACTATGTTAGTGCAAAAACTTCTGGCAGACCCACATGTTTTAGTAAATTTCTAGTTGATATGTCAGGTTATAAAGTTAAGGAAGTTAGCATATAGATAGATTTGATTTACTAATCAAACAAATGCATCCACTATGGTAAAATTCTCACTATTGATTTAATGCTTTTGGTGCTTCCTTTTCTGTTGAAATTTTAACTTCTCTTTGGAAAAACAATTACACTTAATTTCAGAAGAGTTTGACAGACTGTTTTATATCTGAGGAGCAATCAGCATTGTTTGAGATAGTTAGTAGAGCTGATTTCATTATCATCCCACTGCTGCAACAGCAGGGTACAGAGAAACAGCCAAGGAAAACTGCTAATCACTTAGTCCTTATGATTGGCATAGGGTTAATTTTATTGGTGATCCCACTGAGTGAATCTACATTGGTTGACAAGTCTCCTCTGCAGACATTTTTGAGATGTAAAAAGACAATTTGAAACATTCCAAGAACCCAGGGGCAAAAGCAGATCTTAAAACTGCTTTCCCTCCCATCTCCCCACCCCTCTTCTGATTACCCAGGAAGGAGAAGTGTTATCTATGTAAGTCCCTGGTCCCACTTGGAGAGTATGAGTGTCATGTAGAGGCCTGTCTCCAGCATGCAAAAGGAGATAGAGGAGATGGAACTGAAGTGGGTAAGAGAACCAGAGTGTGTGCAACTGTGGAAGGCAAACAGCAGCAACGGCTGAGGAAGCCAAAGGTATGTGCTTAGGAAAAGCTACAATTCTGTTCTCCCTATCTTTCCTCCTTTCTCTCCCTCCTCCTCTCTTTCCTATTTATATTAATACAAGATTTATGCTTGTAAGGATAGGTGTTCGTGTATATGTATACATACATATGTGTGCATTTATGTATGTAAGCCAGAGGTCAGACTTAGTTGTTGTTCTGCAGGAGGAGTCATCCACGCGTTTTGAGACAGGATCTCACTAGACTTGGGGCTTGCAGATTAAGAATGCTACCTGAAACTACCCAAAGTCAGGTTCTCATTTTTTTACAGCAACCACTTTTATGACATCCTATCCCCGAATTAGTGTATCTTTGGTCTATATTTTGTGAGAATGTTTTTTTATTTTTATTTTTTTTTGAGAATGTTTTTTTAAATTGCTATTTGAGTTGCTAATGTGGGTCGCCTAAAAATTTTATAATGAATTTTGGCTTGGGATTAAGACAGAAATTTCCAACATTTTCTAAAATGACCCTTAGCACGTACCTGTCAATTTGTAGTATATATTTAATGTGAAGAAGTATTCTCGGCACTGATGATAATAAAATCAAAATATACATCAAATCTGAGAAGCATTGAACACACTCTGCGTTTTGCAGTGTTAGATATTCAGCCAGGGTTTTTGTAAAAATAAACAAGTATGAGCTGAAGGTTTGGCTTAGAATGTAGAATGATTGTGCCTAGCATGAATGAACTTTTGCACCCTATAGTACTGAGCATGGTGAATACACTTATAATTCTAGCACTTGGGAGGTAGAAACATGAGAATCAGAGTTCAAAGTCATTCCCAGATATATAACAAGTTCAAGGCCAACTTGGGTTAGATGAGACCCTATCTCAAAAACCAAAACAATCAAAAACTAAAACCATACCACAAGCACATCTATTTTGTTAGTATGCATATTAGCTTTTATCTTTAGTAAATGTTAAAATTACATATATTCTAAAGAGTTGTTCTTAAATAATTTTCATTATGATTTATTATCAATAAAAGTTTGACTTGTTTTATTAATTTTATTTACCTATATGTAAAAGTTTCTCAGGTGAAAAGGGGTCCCAAGTGGAGTAAGAAGCTCTACTGTATAGTATAAACATCTCTCTGGGTTTATTTTTAGACTTCTGAAACATTACTGTTAGCTGGGTATGGTGGAGCATAGCTGTAATCTACCACTAATGAAGCAGAGGGAGCAGGATCATGATAAGTTTGAGGACATCCTGTTCTACATAGCAATTCTAAGCCCTACCTCCACCTCTAACACCTGCTTTCCAACCTGCAAAAATCATTATATCAATGTTTGTGTCACTTAACATCATCTTATTACTGAAATGTTGTTTTTTTCCCTAATCCTTCTATATTTATGACTATTTAAAACAGTCTAAGGCCTGATATAGGCAAACTCCTGTAATCCCAGCACTCTGGAGGTGTGAGAGTTTAAGGCCAGTCTTGGGTACATGGTGAGTTTAGATCAACTTGAGCTAGGTAGTGAGACCCTATCTAAAAAACAGAAACTCGGCTGGAGAGATGGCTCAGAGGTTAAGAGCATTGCCTGCTCTTCCAAAGGTCCTGAGTTCAATTCCCAGCAACCACATGGTGGCTCACAACCATCTGTAATGAGGTCTGGTGCCCTCTTCTGGCCATCAGGCATACACACAGACAGAATATTGTATACATAATAAATAAATAAATAAATAAATAACAGAAACTACAACAAAACTCCAGTAAAACAATAAAAGCAAAACAGAATAACAACAATTTAAAAATGGGGAAAAATACCATTAACCGATCCTTGGACTACAGTTATTTATTGAATTGTAAGTCAACATTCCAGTGTCTTTTGAAATATTACAATGAATTGCTTTTCAGAAAATGTAGGGAATTCATGTCCACACTGCTAGGAGCACATGTGAAATAACTTCTGAATCTCTTCTGTGTCTAGACTTGAGAAACTACTAGCTATTTATTTATTTATTCATTCAACTTTTTACTAAAACAATCAGAATGACACATCTTCGCAGTGTACAAAAAGATTATTCCACAACACAAGTCAACTGTGTTTTAAATCTTGCCATGAATTAATTAATCCGTCTATCCTTTTCTCTATCACAGGACAAAGACCACAGTGAAGGCCGACTGCTCAGTCTCTTGGAACAGTCTGAGCACAAGACCATAGGTGAAGACTCTCAAGACCAATTTTATGGGTTTCTGTCTAGGCCTTTCAGTGAAGATAGAAACTCCTAACATTCAGCTGATTGTTGGGAATTGTGAGTGAATCCTTTTGTAGCCAATCAGCCAGCCTTGGAAATTTAATCTAGGCTGTCTCATCCCCAGGAAGAATGAAGAGATATCCTGTGTTTTCCGACATGGGTTTAATATAATCCTTTATAACACCTAATCCTTTGTAACACCTAGAGTTAGGACTGCCTGTTAAACTGGGGAGTCATGGAAAACCACACATGCAGACATCACTGCCTCTTCTGAATGTTTGTAAACCACTTATACATTACCTTTAGCTTAGTCTCCCAACTTAACTCCTAAGAAATTGTAGGAAGTAATTCCTCTTTGTGTCTTTAGTATTTAGGGAGCATTAGAGTAGATTTATCAGGAGCATTAGGAATTCTAACTTTAGAGATTACAAAGATTATATCTAGTAAAGCACTATATATGTATTCCTTGGCATTAGTAGACTTTTGTTGGATGTTAGGTGCTGGAATATTGCTACTATTGTTCTTTTTAGTTACTATTGTTAAATTTTACCAAATTGAACAGTAAATTTTTGCTCACTGTCTAGTTATAATAGTTTATTACTACCAAGCAAATCTGTTTTGCTTTGTGATGACTGTAAAAAGAACCTGTCTTGCTAGGCAGTGGTGATGCACATCTTTAATCCCAGCACTCAGGAGGCAGAAGCAGGTGGATCTGAGTTCGAGGCCAGCCTGGCCTACAAGAGCTAGTTCTAGGACAGTTCCAAAATTACAGAGAGAAAAAAAAACCTATCTTACATCTTACTTCTAGATCACCAGGTTGTGAATCTCTCAGGTGGCAGATTTCCCCTGGTTACCCTTATTGCCTGAGTGTAGGTCTGAAGTAGGTCTATTCAGAAATGATTCATTCCGAAGTGTTTATTGCAGCTGAGCCTGTTGGATGCTAATGCTCACATTCCATTGGTCAAAGGGTTGGAGATCTGAACTACTTGAATAGGCCTGATGAAAAGCAGCAGGCAGTGAGAGGCTATGACTGCTAATGTTAGTACTTTTATCTCTCCAGGTGTAGAGAAAAAAACCAAGTCTTCAGAAGCAAGAACCTTCAAGTAAGTTAGAGTATGTGCTGAATTCTGTCAACAGCTCTGGCAAGTGTGAGCCTGATGCTAGATTCTCTGTGTAGATTGATAATTAAAATGCTAAAATAGAAATCACTGTAGAACTAACACAATTATTTAACTTGGTGATCCTGTTATATCTGGGTTAAGAATTGGTTGGATAGCTGTATTGATGTTAAAGTAAGTAGGGTTATGTGTTACTCCTTTTCTTCTTCCCTTTTTTTAACAGGGTTTCTCTGTGTAACAATAGTCTTAGCTGTCCTAGAACTCCCTCTATAGACCAGGCTGGCCTCAAACTCACAGAGATCCACCTGCCTCTAATTCCCAAGTGCTGGGATTAAAGGTGTGAACCACTGCCCAGCCTTTCTTCTTTTCAGTTCCCATCCAAACCTGAATTCTAGCAGATTTAGGAATTTTGATCTGACTCCACAGTTTCTCCATGTCTCCATGGCTTTAGGTTATGTGAATTACCCAGTATCTTCATCTGTGAAAGCAGAATGATACAACTTACATGGCTAGAATATTACACAAGTTAGTATACTAATGTAATTGAAAGGCTCCACTAGAGTGCGTAGTTCATACTTGTTCCTTACCAGCTTCATATTGAACTTGAAACCAGGACAAAGATAGAGGCAGACTGATTTCTGAGTTCATGGCCAACTGGGTCTATATAGGTTTTTTTGTTTTTTGTTTTTTTAGTTTGTTTGTTTTGTTTTGTTTTCAATAAAGGCTGGGAGCTAGAGAGATGGCTCAGTGCTTAATAGCACTGGCTGCTCTTTCAGAGGACCCAGGTTCAATTCCTAGCATCTGCATGGTGGCTCACAACCACCTGTAATTCCAATCCCAGGAGATTCAGCACCCTTCTCTGTCCTTGAAGGACACTAGGCATGCATGTGGTATACAAACTTAAATGCAGACACCTTTGCACATAAAACAAAGAAAAAATGTTAAAGAGTTGGACATATACACATGTAATATGTCTTACTTGAGTTTTTCTTTCTGTCTAGGATACCTTCATCAGAGGTGGAAGAGGCTAGCTGCAGCAGAGAGATGCAGAGTTCCCTCTCACAGCTCAACTTAAATGAGTCTCCCATCAAGTCTTTTGTTCCTGTTTCAGAAGCCATAAATTGCTTAGTGGACTTTAAAGACCAGTTTACTTTTCGGTCACGGACCAAATCAGGCAGAGGAAGGAGGAGAAAATCTTGAATTTCTTGGGACTGGAGGTTGACCGGAATTATTATTGTTGGGTTGGTCATGTTCATTAATTATAGTGGTTCCTAGTTTGTTGTGAGAGTTTTGACCCTGTTGTTTTTACCACCAGCACCCACTCAGCATCCTGATTTTTATGTTTTATAAGATACATTGAGACAATTGTGAATAGTATTGTTTTACAGCATTCTGTTTGAATTTACTTATAGTTAAAATTTAAATATATTTATCTATGTTTTCATGAAATCTTACTTCGATATGTGGAAATTTTTATATTTTTGTCGTGAGCTTTGGAGTGGGGATTTTTTGTTTTGTTTTTCTTTTTCAAGACAGGATTTCTTGTATAGCTTTGCAGCCTATCCTCTGTAGACCAGGCTGGCCTCGAACTCAAAGAGATCTGCCTGCCTCTACCTCTTAGTGCTAAGGTTAAAGGTGTGAGCCACCGTCGCCCGGCTTCCTCTGGAATTTGTAAGTGAACACTGTTGTGTTAGTTCGTTCCTATGCAGTTTTTTCAAAGTGGATTTACCGGTGGGTGTACCAGGCACAATTATCTGTTTAAATCAATTTTTTTTTCTTTTGCTGCTACAGGTCATGTGGCAGCAGTAAATTGGGATTCAGTGGAAATACCAGAGCAGTCCCCAGTCTCTACAGTGTTGCCTGAGCCCTTCCAGTGCAGAGTAGAGATGTGGTTTATCCTTAGTGTCCAGGTAGACCCAAAGTGAGAGACTCAAATAGCAGAAGTAACTAACCAAAGGAGACAGTCAAACAAAAGAACCAGCTTTGGCTTTAGCTGATGGACAGTCTAGTGAAAGAGACTCTTAAGTGGGTGTTAACAGTACAGGATTTTATTTTATTTTTTTAAGACAAGGTTTCTCTGTAGCCTTGGCTGACCTGGAACTCACTCTGTAGACCAGGTTGGCCTTGAACTCACAGAGATCCTCCTGCCTTTGCCTCCTGAGTGTTGTTGGGACTAAAGGTGTGTGCCACCACTGCCCGGCAGCAGTACAGGATCTCAGACCAGGGTAAACTAATACACAACTCAGGTGCCTAACTTCTGATTTATCATATCTAAAGCTGTCTTTGATTTTAAGAGGAAAGTGAGATGTATATCACACTGGGGCATTCATACACAGCTGGATTGGAAGACTTAGTACAGACATTAGGGCACTATCTCATACTGTTTGCACACAAATGCTTTGAGTTATAATCAAGATGGAAAATACCAATTCCCACCACAGACAATGTCTTGCTCTTGGATGGTGCCAACACTATGACCAGCATCACATATATCTCTTATTTTTTGTTCAGTCACCACAGTCCAGACAATATATGTACTGTTATTTGATCCTCATAGAAACTTGTTATAACCAACTCTGAAATGAGGAACCAGATGGAGAGAAACAAGTTAAAAGACTGCACCCACGGCTGTGAGACTAGTCATGGGTTCTTCATTTCTAGAGAAAAACCTTGTACTTTTGACATAAGTGCTAACAGATTTCTTGTTTTTCCATATACAGCCAATCAGTATAACCCTCACTTACAGCTCTCATTAGTCACTTAGAAGGTAGCTAAATGGTATACTATAAATGGTATAGTTTGTATTTCTATATATGAGGTTGAAGGAAAGTGCTGCTTCTAGAATGAGGTTATCTTAAAATTGAGCAGACTCTACAGAATGGGGGCCATTGGCTAAGGATATGGATTAGCTAGACCAGGAATTCACAGCACAAATGGGACTCAGGGAAAGAGAAGACCTCCCAACCCCCACAGTTGCTTTTTTGTCCAATTTGTTGTCTCTGTGCTATAGTCTAATAGTAGATGCATTAATCAGAGTGAAGAGATAAGTGACAGTCATGACAGATCAATCTTGCTTCTGAAACAAGTTGCTAACCCTCTCTTGGACTTTGTCTGTAAAATGAGAAAAATATTAAAGTGTTCTAAGTATTGATAACTTTATTATTATCATTTTTTTGAGACAGGATTTCTCTGTGTAACAATCCTGACTGTCCTGGAACTCACTCTGCAGACCAGGCTGACCTCAAACTCAGATCCACCTGCCTCTGCCCTCTGGAGTGCTAGGATTAAAGGCTTGTGCCCCCACTGTCTGGTGACAGAGTGTTTATAAAGAATCTAACCACACTTGCTACAGATGTGTAGTGTGGCAGCAACTGTTACTAAGGTCACTCTACTTTTGTATGTCATAAGTAGTGTTGCAGTATGAGGTGGAAGGGCCAGAGAGATGGTCTGCAGCTGCAAGAGGAGTGCGCATACTGGGCATCTACCCATGACTCACACGCCACAGGAAGCCTGCTTCTTAGACACTTAGCTTTTCTGGGGTCTTAGGTGTAGGAGGAGGACATTTGTCTGTCCTAGACACCTAGAATCAAAATAACCACACAGAAACTATATTATTTAAAACACTGCTTGGCCCATCAGCTCTAACTTCTCATTGGCTAACTCTTACATCTTAATTTAACCCATTTCTAGTAATCTGTGTATTGCCACGTGGCTGTGGCTTACTGGCAGGTTTCCAACTGGCGTCTATCTGAGGCGGGGGGGGGGGGGGGGCACTGCATGGCTTCTAACTGACTCTGCTTCCTTTCTCCCAGCATTCAGCTTCATTTTCCCTGCCTAGCTCTGTTCCCCTGTAGCTCTGCTATAGGCCCAAAGCAGTTTTTTTCATGCATTAACCAATAAAAGCAACACATAGACAGAAGGACCTCCCGCATCACTTAGAATACTTAGAATTCTCTGGGTGGTTTTTCCGAAAGATTGCCAGCTCATGGAGAATTTGAAAGCTCCACAAACTAAATAAGTTAGTGCTGTAAGCTTGGGAAGGGAGAGATTTTTATTTAACAACATCATAGCTGTGTTCATTTTATTTTTTTTTTTAATTTTTTAAAGGTCTATTTTAGTTTTGTTATTTATTTATTTATTTAGGATTTCTTCCTCCTCCCCGCAACCGCTTCCCATTTCCCTCATTTTGTTTTTATCAGAGTCCTCTATCAGAGGTTGTGCCAGGCCCACTTCTGGGCACTTACCCTCCTATAGACTCTACTCACAGGGCTTTCTTACAGATACTTGTAACTGTGTGAGAAGGTGTCCCTTGGTTTCTGTTGACACAAGCTGGAAGTGCCAAGAACTTATACTTTGGTGCAGTTCTTAGCCAATGAAAATAGAAGTTGGGGTATGTAAGTAACCCATATTTTTCATGTGTCAGGTAGAACAACTGAGACACGTTCACCATTTTCTCAGGGATCCCCTTATAGGGTTGGATCACCATAGCACCCATAATAGCTTAAATGTGTGGACTGTCTTGGCTTCTTTTTCTTGCTTTCTGACTTCCAAATTCCCTCATACCAGGAATGAGGAGGCCCTCACTTTTGGGTTCATGTAAGTGCAGGGTTAGCACTTGTATGAGCCTTAGAGGACTCTACATTCAGCATTCTGTCCAGCTCACTTTCATCATCTTAATCTCAGCTCTATTTTAGAACCTTCTGGAATACAATATATGATTAGTTCTCTAATTCTGGGGAACCCAACCTGTAAGTAGACATCTTGAGTCTACTTAAAAAGATAAAAATCTGGTCGTAATGACACATAACTTTAACTCCAGCACAAGGAGGCAGAGGCAAGTAGTCTTATAAGTTCAAGTTCAAGGCCAGTCTGATCTCCATAATTTGAGGACAGCCAGGAGTGTATAGGGAAACCCTGTCTCAAAGAAACCAAAGATAAACATCAGGTCACACAGAAGTAGAGCCAAGGAGTTCTGGCAGCACTTGTCATAAGCATGACTCATAGCTGGACCTTTGATATTCTATTCCATATTCTACTTCAGTGAAACAAAGTTGAGAGACTATAATCCCTGGATAGACAAGATGTTGTGTTGTGGGTGATGCCAATTTCCATTTTGCCCTCCCCAGCATCATCTTTTACCTCCTTACCTTTCACTGCCTATGTGACTGGTTGGTATCCAATAAATGTACAGCAAGGCTGATGTTTACAGATCTAAAACAAATCCTGTGGAGAAATTATGTTTTATACTTGGAATATTCAGACTCAAGCTAGCAAGATGGTTCAGCAGGTAAAGTGCTTGCTGCATCAGCCTAATGACCTGGGTTCAACCCACAAAACCCTCTGAGGTTCATATGTTTACTGTGGTGTGTACTTAACTCCTAAACACCATATCACATACACAGTAATAGAAGCAACAACAACCTAGGTCTGTCTGACATCAAAGTTCCTGCTATCTGTATTGTCTGTGTTGTCCCTGATCTTCCATTGAGTCACAAAATGGATGACTAAAAATTTGAGCTTTGGATGGGCTCCTTGCCTTTATCCTTTGGTTGATGTTAGCCTATGTGAACTGGGGAGAGTTGAAATGAAAAGTTGGTTACCAGTGGAAAGATGGAACATTGTAGACACTCAAGTAAGGAAGAGTGCTGAAATCTTGCACCAGTAGGGGGAAGAAGTTGCTTGCTTGTTGTTTCAAAAGCCCTGGGCTGTTGGGGGAGGGATCTTCAGTTTAGCAAAAAATAACTGATACTTACTCCATATCAGGTCTAGAACTCGGTCCCAAGGCTGTAAAGGTGTGTAAGAAACATGAGAACCTACAGTTGAGCAGTAAACAGATGATTTTAATAAATACAGTGATCTGGCCCCAAGCTGGGGTCAGAGCTGGGCCTAACTTGTGAGCGGAGGGAGCCCCACTGCCACTGCTGTTGATAACTGTAATTTAAAGATGAAGGTTAGAGAAGCCAGTGGTATCAGTAGGTCATTATAGACAAATGCACACGAACAGACACAGCAGAAGCAGTGCAGTGCCTGTGAGAGCTGCGGGGCGTACCTAAACCAAGAAGGGAATGAAAGGTGATGTGATGAACTAGGGGCCTAGCTGGCTGACAGGAGCAAGCTCAAAGCAAGGAGGGCCTGGCTTGCAGCTCAGCAGTAATATTCTAGTTTTGCTATGTTCGGCTCTTCCCATTCTACAGTTGCTTCTGATGGCTGAAGCTAAGGGGTGATGAGGGGACCTTGTCAGGACTTGACTTTCCCTCATTGGTCAGTGTCCATCTGGTGT